GTTCACTTAACAGCGTCATATTTCGTTCATTTTTTAACTCAGAATGCACAAAATTTATACCATCTTAAGAATTATCTAATCGTTGCCACATGTTCTGTTCAAATACTATAATAAATCTAAAACGAAGTATAAAAGAAATTAAGCAAAAAACAACAACAACAGAAACGAAACAGTTTTTCACAGACGATTCAGTATTTCTCATTCAATTAATTCGGTTCTCACTTCGCGACAAGGGAAAGTACATTAAACACACACACACACACATATACACTGACTACCAATAAGTATTTGGACACCTATGCAAATGACGATATCTGCGGTCCTAAGGTACGTAACAGACTCCGCCGGTATATATCGTGTAGGAAACAGCATCGGCTTTAGTCGCATGCAAGATGCCTCGCAGTTCGGAGCTCTCTGATTTCGAGAAAAGTATAATTATCGGGTATCACAAATGTGGCCGATCCTTAAGGGACATATCTAGCGGTCTGATGTACCCAAAATCGACAGTGGCCTATATGATTAAGAAGTGGAAGGTGAGCGGTGATTGTTGGAATGTGCCCCGAGTCGGCAGACCAACGAAACTGGGAGATAGACACCGACGAGTGCTGTCCAGAGAAATTCGGAAGAACCGCACCCAACCGATGGCCCTCATCCGCGAGGAGTTTCAACAGGCATCCGGGAGTATTATTTCAGTAAATACCATCCGTAAGGAAGCACATCTGCTTGGTTTTCATGGTCGTGCTGCTGCCCATAAGCCTTTGATCACAAAGTCCAACCGCGCTGCTCGGTTAATGTGGTGCAAAGCACATCGAAATTGGACCGTAGATCAGTGGAAACGGGTTCTTTGGAGTGACGAATCAAAGTTCACCCTTTACCGTTCCGATGGCACGGTCTGGGTCTGGCCTCTTCCTGGAGAACGTCTCCTGCCAGAATGCATTGTGCCAACAGTTAAGTTTGGCGGAGGTGGAATTATGGTTTGGGGGTGTTTCTCCTGGTATGGGCTGGGACCCTTTGTCCCCATTCATGGTAAGCTCAACTCCGATGCCTACTGCACTATTTTGGATGACAATGTGCTTCCTACGTTGTGGCAGTTTTACGGGTTGGACCCCCGTTACTTTCAGGACGAATGCCAGTTGTCATCTTTCGACGTTAACCAAGGCTTGGTATGGTGCCAATTGAGTTCATCGAATAGACTGGCCTGCCCAGAGTGCAGACCTGAAACCTATAGAGGACCTCTGGGACCAGTTGCATCGCCGAATTCAGGGGTGCACTAACCGTGCAAAATCGGTGAAGGAACTTCTATGTCTTCTCCACGCCGAGTGGAAGAAAATACCACTAGCTGTCATACAGAGACTTGTGGAAAGTATGCCCCGGAGGGTCCACCCTGTAATTACCTCTCGTGGAGGCTCTACCAACTATTGATTTTGAATAAAGTTAGTTTTTCTTTTCTATCACAGGTGTCCAAATACTTATTGGTAGTCAGTGTATATACATATAAAGAAGAGAAAAAGACGTAGCAAATGTTGACGGCGTAGAACGTAGATCCATATTGAAGAGGGAAATGGACACGCTAATCATGCCTATTTCCAGAACACATACATTATTTGATAGTGTTGCGTTAGGAATACAGCACAGCGAAGTAGCGTCCAAGCAGCACAGAGGTTTTCAGTCCAAAAGTGCGCATTTGTCCAGTGTGGCAGTTTGTTAAGAGAAAGGTTTTGATTTAGGTTAGAAAAGTTTTCAGTTGACAAAATTTTGAGTTTATGTTCCGAATTAGCACGACATAAGCGTTACGCAAGCTACTTGACATAGATTAATCTAGAAAAGACGCAGTCCGGGAAAGTTATTGCAATTTTTAGAATACAGAGAAGAAACCCCCAGATTATAAATGAGGAATTAAAAGCCTATTGCTAAATTGAGTTACAAAGCTGATTTAAATATATTTATCTTACATGTATATACATATATGTTAGGTATAACAAAATACGATAGCTGCTTTAAGAAAATAATGGGTGACCTCGAAATTAACGATTCTAGATGATATGTTCTCCCCCTAAATTCATCTGTTCTCTCATATTAGAGATATCTCCATGCTACGTAATGCTTAATGCATGTACTACCTCTTGTCCAATCAAAATAACTGTAAACCAAAACTTTTTTAACTCGAACTAAAATTTTTGATTTCCTCCCTTTTTCCTTTGAGTTGCTGCTACCCTTTTCGCTTACGTTTTCCTCTTGGCAAGACGCTTTGCTGCCGTGCTTACTTATCTAACATGACGTCGTACTTTAAAGTCCGTGTACATGGAAATTATTGCATTCAAATATGATTTAAAAATATCTTGTCTGAAAAAGGATGATTCGATATGCGTTAAAAAAGACTGTAATACTTCAAGCTCAGTTGTGTTAAATGTGTTATCACGCCTTTCCACTCAGCCTTGTCTACAGCCACAAGCTGATAAAAGTATTGGATTCCTACGCATTAAAACATGACATATGTATACATACATATATATATATATATATATGTATATATATATATATATATATATATATATATATATACACACCACATGTAATAATAAAATTCCATAGTCAAGAATACAATTAAAATTCTAGCTGTATATTGTTTTCATTTTTAATGGCGACGTTCTCTTATTTGAAAGTACGTGGAATTAAATCCACAGCCCCGTAGTCAAGTTGTTTTTCCCGCCTTTTCTACACGTACAGTTTTAGAATGTTCTGGAAATATTTCAAGCGAACTGGATTGGCTGACGAGGCTGACGTCATTTTCTTGGAAGCTCCGCCTATCCAGAGGCTATAAAAAGACTCGCAAAAGGAATATCGGGAGCTTTTTCTTAAATGTCACGATGCAGTAAACTTCATACGAAATGTTATTAGTACTTCTTTTTTATTTACTCCGGAGATCAGATTTTTGTAATTGCTATTTTCTCCTGAAATATAATAAATGGATCTTGTTTTTTTAAAACTATCTTCTGATAATTTAAGTTACGACTACATTGATGATTCTTCAACAATCTATTTATTCCTGACAAAAGCTGGTACATCACATACATATAATTAGAGAAAAGGAAACAAAGTATATATATATGTGATGTATCAGCTTTAGTCAGGAATAAATAGATTGTTGAAGAATCATAAATTTAGTCGTAGCTTAAATAATCAGACGATAAGTTTAAAAAACAGGATCCATTTATTATTATTCAGGAGAAATAGCAGTTACAAAATTCATATATCCGGAGTAAATAAAAAGAATTACTAATAACGTTTTGTATGAAGTTTACTGCATCGTGACATTTAAGAAAAAAGCCCCGATATTCCTTTTGCGAGTTTTTTTATAGCCTCTAGAAAGGCGGAGCTTCCAAGAAATGACGTCAGCCTCGTCAGCCAATCCAGTTCACTTGAAATATTTCCAGAACATTCTAAAACTGTACGTGTAGAAAAGGCGGGAAAAACAACTTGACTACGGATTGTGGATTTAATTCCACGTACTTTCAAATAAGAGAACGTCGCCATTAAAAAATGAAAAGCACATACAGTTAGAATTTTAGTTGTATTCTTGACTATGGAATTTTATTATTACATATATATAATACATATATAATTTAAAGTAAAGTAGGAAAAACAAACGATAAAAGACCTATGTGGTCAAGAATTTTGCGCATTGTGCTACAAAATTAAAGAAATTAAAAGATACATTTTAGTACGAACGCTAAAAAGCTGCTTAAATACTGTGGTTCCGTGAAGACTTTAACATAAGCAAAATTAGTTGCAATGAAATGTGTTAAAAGTGAAAAATACAACATTTGATTATTTACAAGTAAAAATAAAAAATAATAGTAAGCTATATGCTAAATTATTTTAGCAGTATATTTAAGTATATTTAAAACATAGTAAAAGTATCAACTAATTAATCGAGTTAAAAATAAAATTAAGAAGCGGTAAATGGTCGATTAGCCCAATTCGAAGTTCACTATGGCACGTCAGGGGAAATATTTTTTTAATGAACCTCGAACTAAGCTAACTCCATCACGCGTTTCGCCGAAACAGACATACTGTCGATTGCAATAAAAAAGGAAGGTGCACAGCTAAGTATTTTAGCAGTCTCATATACAAAATTTTAACGTTTTACGGCTAATCTTTTTGAGTTTACGAGATACTGTAACGTTTTCTGTAGTATTTAACAAAATAACCGATGGGCTCCTTTGTAAAACACAAAATTTTATTCTCAGTTCACAAATATAGATAATTTAAATTTAATCCTATCCATTACAGCTTCACACTCCAGCTTACCATGACAGGTTTTTTTCTCCATAAATTTTTCATACAACTACTAGCTGGTAAAACTTTCAGAATTCCAAATTTGAAACATATTTTTACGTTGCTCGGGAACGGTTACAGGATACAAATATGACGTTGCCACTCCAATATCAAGGATAATAAATATAATTTTTTGTTAAATATTAAAATATTACAATACATACGTACATACGTACGTACAGACGTCACAGAAAAATCTTGTTTTGAATCCATTTTAGAAAAAGAGTTCTTTAATCTATCCACACTTACAGACGTAGCGCAAAGGAACAGTCAAAATGCATATTTGAGCTGAAATATGATACCCGAAATTTTTCGCGATTACAATACTTTTTTACGAAGTAAATAAAATACTTCCCTTCATTCATAAAGGATCATATTATTTCGTTCCTAAGGAATTACTAATAAGCTGAGTCATCAGCAGTAACATAATAACAAATTACGAAGAGTCCATTTACATCAAGTTCTTATGCTGTTACCTTGACGAATAAAAATATCAGAAACTAAATATTTAACAGTTTTTTTAAAAAAATGAATTAAAATTGCTAAATCATTTTCCTTCTTTTCCATCTGCTTGCTTAATCTCAGGGCGCTTTAATTCTTATACAATTGCATTTGCATTGCAACAGCTAAGAAAAATTAAGAGAAGTAAGTGCTTTTGATACCTGTGAAGATTGTAAGATGGCATTGGTAATCATGTAAGCTTCTTCAAACATGGCGTCGTCTTTTGGATTGATGCAGAACATTAAATGGGTAAGGCCCAGAAGAGGAAATAATAAAGCAGTTGCCTTTACGGCTTTCCTGTAAAGAAATTTTATTTTACTCTGCGTGGAGAAAATTGATTAATTTTGGCAAATAAATGAATGAAATTGATTTAGTTATAAACTTGCAGTTTGGGAAACAAATTCTCTTAGACGCTAATAAAGCAGCGACTTTCGGATTTTTTCAGATTTCTATAAAATATAAATTGTTTTAAAAATGATTGTACTATTTAATATCTATTGAATGGCTGATCGTACGGCTATGGCTACAAATTGAAGAAAGGAATCTAATAAGGTAGGTTTCCAAGCTATGACACTTTTGATCACATGACACGCTTGGAGGAGAAACTAACTAAATAAGTAAATAAAATATAAAAAAAGGCCCGAAAGCTTTCAGATTTTATTCCACGCCCAAAGGAGTGATTTTTTTAACGTTTTGTGCGTTGCCTTATAGAAACATTAGAATTTTTTTGAAGCGGGGGAGATGATAAATGAACAACGCCTTCGCCGAGACTCGAACCACTGGCCTCTCGAATACGCGCCGAGCGTGATGACCACTACACTACGAAGGCATGCTAAGAAGGCGGAAAAAATACCTTATAGCCTGTATTTATTAAGTATCATGTTCTTCGCATTTAAAGCATAAAATTCAATTCAACAGCAATATCCCAAAATAATTCTAAAATGACCCTATCTTTTAGAATTTCCGATACACAGGCTCGCGCGCTGGAGATATTTTTTTTTTCTTCCAAATTTTGTTGCCATGGCTCGCTTTTGAAATCGTGGAGTTTGTTAATCAAAACTTCTTACAAAATATGAAATCGATAATAAAGCAGATCTCAAATTACGGCCTTCAGATGCCCATATTCGGTTGGAGGACTACGTTATTCAAAATTTGAGGTCTCTAGGCATTGTTATTTTTTGACAGTGCGAGAAAAATGCATACATTCATGCCGATTCTTCATTCTTTAATTTCTTTAAATATAATGCAGGGCTGTAATATTTGGTGGTAACAATTTGAACAGTGAAACACCGTTTTATTGTGGACTACGCAAAATGCCAAAACGAAATTAAAATTGCCGAAACTCTTTTTTGAGACGCAGTCTATGGGGAAAGTTCTAATTAGTACATTATTCAATATTGTTTTAATGATCTTGATGCTGGAGGAGTGAAAAATAAGCAATCCTCTCCTCGGGAGTCGAACCCCAGACCTTTCGAATACTCGCCGAGTGTGCTGGCCGTTACAACACGAAGGCATGCTAAGAAGTCGGGAGAAATACCTTATATACTCCCTCTTTTAAAGGGCGATTGGAGATTAGGGGACCCAATCGCCAAGCCTGGTGGTGGAGAATCATCATCTACCATCTTTTTTAGTTCGGGCGCCACATTGTAGAGGCATTAGGTTTTCTCGAAGAAGGAGACATGAAAAATGATCTCTGTCTTCTCGGGACTCGAACCTCTCACCTTTCGAATACGCACCGAGTGTGCTGGCCATTACACCACGAAGGCATGCTCAGAAGGGAGAGAAATATCTTATAGTTTGGCTGAGGGTCAAAACCAACCAATGTGTGTATTAAGATCACGTTTCAGTTTTATGGTATTTTCACTTTAAAACTACCCCCTTTTTTGGGGGGGGGTGAATAACAAGATAAGTATTACTGAAAATGTAATTAGAAAACGCTTTAAAGATAAAAATTAAAATTAAAATTATAATTTTTATAAAAGCAAGCGTAATTGAAGGAGCTTTATTTTTCCCTTCGATATCAATGGCTTCCCTGATGGAGAAGCTGCTTATGATCTTACTTAACCCTTTCCGGCACGCTACCTTTTAAAGTTGGAATTCTGATAAAAAAAAGATAGGCAGTCTAACTAGGTCTAGAGGAGTACACAAGTAAAATTTTGTGAAGATAGCACTTATCGTTTTAATTCTGTGGGTGGGCCCAAAGTGGGCACACTGATTGAATAGAGCTTCGAAAAGAGTGCAGAAACGAGCATTGTTGTCAATGAACTGACCGATGAGATGCGAAGAAACGAAGAATACAGACGCTCAGTTGTCCTTGATTATCGGTGAGCCCGGTCTGGGCACACCTAGGGTTCGCCGTTTGATTTTAGGCAACATTTCAAGGTAAAAATTTAAAACTAATATAGAATAAGGAGATTAGCATACAGCCAAAAACATAACATAGAAATTTCTTTTCAAACAATTCCTTTTATACCCTAAAAAAAAATCTGGAAGACTTTTTTGAAAAATGAGGGTCTTAAAAAACTAAACATGGCTAAAATATATGGATGGTTTGTGTTGAGCTGCCATCTACTATAAATAAAGAAGGTTCAGAGTAACCTATAAATCCTTTTTCATTCAATTTTTATGTGCGTATAGAAGGAAATTTTTAGGCTTGTCTAGACCGGACACACTGTGCCGCATTCACGTTTGAAAAAATATTTGCTCTCATTTATAAGTTAAACCGAACGCGGACAGAATGGCCCAACGTTTTGGAATTATGTATTGCCAAATTTTTCAATTTCTCCTTGAAATTATCTTATAAATATTAAAAAATGCATGTAGCCAGTTTCCCTTAGAAAGTCCTCCACGTAGGCATTCCTTCCCTTAGGCAGATAGCCCTAGTGTGCTTTCCATAATTAAATACACCAATGCACTAAAAAATTTATGTTCCTTATTGCAACTTTGGAATCAAAGAAAAATGTTAATATTATTCTTTATTTTCAGTTTATCTTTTTATGTAGTCGTCAAATGCTCGTTTCATTTTTATTTTTTGGAATTTATTTTTAGCGCAGAGGAGCGTTAGTTCAGAAGGGCTATTAATCTCGAAAACAGGATTTTGTGTTGAATCACTTTTCAAATTGTTGCCACCAAATATTATCGCCCTGTATTATTTTAAAAGAAATTAAACAAAGGAGAATGTGGATGAATGTAGGTATATTTCTCGCATTGAGCATCTGAAAAACCGAAATTTAAATTTCGAATCTGTTTTATTATCTATTTCCCATTTTGTACAACTTTAAGTAATTTTTAATTAACAAACTCAATGATTTCAAAGTGAGTAATGACAACACTGTACAGAAACAAACTTTTTTACCTCCAGCGGGTAAGCCTGTCTATTGGAAATTCTAAAGATATAGTGTTTTTAAATATTTTTTGATACTTTTGTTGAATTGAATTTTATATGATTTAATTGTGAAAAACTGTAGGGTATTTCTCCAGCCTTCTTTGCCTGCCTTCGTGGTGTTAACTATAGGGTCTGCATGCTAGGAGCGGATTCCAGGGGTCTGAGGTTCGATTCCCGGAGAAGGCGTTGCATATTTTTCAGGTTTCCAAATTACCTAATGTCTCTACAGTGACGCCCGAACTAAAAAAGTGATGGATGATGATACTCCACACCCAGGATTTGTAACTGTATTTTTGTATCTGTATATTTAATTTGTAGTTTTATTAGAATTTTATTGTGAATGTGCAAAATTACCATAGCAAATTGCAACAACAAATGTCAAAACGGTAAAACGAATGCAATCTGCCCTTGTATGGCCATGTAAATGCTCTTGTTAACATTCTAAAAAGCTCCCGAGGCGGCCTCTTGAGGCCCCAGGGAGTTGTTTCTGGTTAGTGGAGGGCGCGGAACACATGCCTGTTTACCTCTGTTTACCTCTGTTAGACATCAGGCGACCCCGTCCTCCGTTACCAACCAACCAACCCAGGATTTGGAGATAGGGTCTTCTAAAAAACCTCAGTCGCCCTTTAAAAGAGCGAGTACATAAGGTACTTCTCCCGCCTTCTTGGCATGCCTTCGTGGTGTGATGGTCGGTTACAGCCGAAAACATCGCGGCAAAAACATCGCAGACGAAAATGTCGCGGAGAAAACAACGCAAGGCGAAAACGTCATGCTACAAAACATCGTGGGAGAAAACATCGCAGTTCTAAAACATCGTGGTACAAAACATCGTCGTCGAAAATAAAGCGGTTCAAAAACATCGCAGTTTAAAAACAACGTCGTCGAAAATATCGTGGTAAAAAATAAAGTATCTACCAATCATCGCATGACGATAACATCGCAGACATGCTTTTTTCAGGCATGCTTTAATAAGTGTAAATGGATATTCCCATAATGATTTGTGAGCGCAAGATGGAAAGAAGGATAATTTTTACTTTCATATTTTTTATTAATTAATACATTTTTGCTGAGAAAATAAAAAGGAAACTTAAGCATAAAAAATTAATGCAACTTTAGCACTTAATAGAATTTTAAACAGACATAGTTAACTAACAAAGGCCATTAATAAAACATTTTATAAAGATTTACTGTTAATATTTCATGAAAAGTATAATCTATAAGTTACATTTAATTTTCTATACTTAAGTTTCCTTCTTACGTTTTCAGCAAAAATTTATTAGTTAATAAAATATGTGAAAGTAAAATTTATCCTTCTTTACACCTTGCGCTCACAAATCATTATGGGAATATCCATTTACATCTATTAAAACCTGAAAAAAGCATGTCTGCGATGTTATCGTCATGCGATGATTTGTAGATACTTTATTTTTTACCACGATGTTTTCGACGACGATGTTTTTAAACAGCGATGTTTTTGAACCGCTTTATTTTCTACGACGATGTTTTGTACCACGATGTTTTAGAACTGCGATGTTTTCTCTTTGCGATGTTTTCTCCCACGATGTTTTGTAGCACGACGTTTTCACCTTGCGTTGTTTTCTCCGCGACGTTTTCGTCCACGATGTTTTTGCCGCGATGTTATCGGCGGACACCGTGGTGGTCTGTACGCTGGGCGCGTATTCCAGAGGTACGAGGTTCGATTCCCGGCGAAGGCGTTGCTCATTTTTCATCTTGCCTGCTTCCAAAAATACTTAATGTCTCTACAGAACATGATATTTAATAGATAACTGAACGTTAGAGAAAGCCCCTTTCAGCGTACTTTCAGATTTTATACAAAATTCTGAAAGCTTTTTAATATATATATAATTTTACATATTACAGTACATAAAATAATATAAAATCCGATAGCTTT